ACTTCCATTAGCTTTTGAGTTTTACATTTTTCTCCCCCTCCCTCCCCACCTCCCTCCCCAAGATGGCAAGCAATCTGATATAGGCTCTACATATACATTCCTATTAAACATATTTTCACATTAGTCATGTTGTAAGGAAGAATTAGAACCAATAGAAGGAACCACCAGAAAGAGGAAACAAAACAAAACAGAAGGAAAAAAAAGAGCAAACAGTCTGCTTCGATCTGCATTCAACATCCATAGTTCTTTCTTCTTTGTGGATCGCATTTTCCATCATGAGGCTTTTGGAGACATCTCAGATCCTTGTATTGCTGAGAAGAGCCAAGTCATTCACAGCTGATCATTGCTACAATGTGGCTGTTACTGCATAGAACATTCTCCTGGTTCTGCTCCCTTCACTCAGCATCAGTCCATACAAGTCTTTCCAGGTTTTTCTGAAGTCAGCCTGCTCATCATTTCTTACGGCTCAATAGTATTCCATTACATTCATAACCACAACTTGCTCAGCCATTCCCCACCTGATGGGCATCCCCTCAATGTCCAATTCTTTGCCACCACAAAAAGAGCTTGCTATAAATATTTTTGTACATGTGGGTCCGAGTCCAAGTTTTACAGAACAAATCCTTTTATTAAGGGGATTTGTTCTGTGAAGTTTGGATTCAGAGGGCCACACTTGAGGACCTAGAGGGCCATATGTGGCCTTAAGGCTGCAGGTTCCCCACCCCTATTAATCAGAAATAAGCCTCTGGGTGTGGGTAGGAATCTTTTGGAAAACAAGAGGAAAGCAAATACCAGAGAGAATAACACAAACATCTTATCATCAGGTCTCCTCAGTCATCTTCCACCTTCCCTCCCATCATAGGTGGTACAGGGCCTGCAATCAGGAAGATCTGAGTTCCAATTAAACCTCAGATGCTTATTAGCTGGGTGACTGTGGGCAAGTCACTTTACCTCTGCCTCAGTTTCCTCATCTGCAAGATGGAGATAACAACAGAACCTCCTTCCCGGGTTTTTGGGAGGATACCAGACAATCCTTGTAAAGTGCTTAGCACAGTGTCTGGCAGAGTAGGCACCAACGATTGGTTCCTTTCTTCTTTCCCCCACTTTGGGGGATATTTTTGTAAACCTTTAAGCGCTGTAGACGTGCCAGTTGCCATCTGTTTTCTGGGCTAGCCTAGGGTGCTTCCTGAGTGGAGTTCCCCTCCCGAGGCGCAGCTTTCTAAAGGCCTTGTGGGAAGGAGGGGTCAGTGGCAGGAGCCGGGCATTTGTCCCGAGGTAAGTGGCACTGCTCAGGTAGTTTGAGTCTGCAGGCAACGGGAGTTATCGGGGCTTTATCCTGGGTGGGTCAGGAATTCACTGAAAGGATGGAGGCACTGTCCTTCCTGGCTGTCTCCTGGTAACTGGGGCCCCTTGGTGAGGCCCTGGGGCCTCAGCCTAGAGTTCTCAACTCCCTAGGGGAGCTCTGGGGCTCCCCTTCGGTTCCTGTGATCTCTGGGCCAGGGCTCGGCTTTAGAAAGCGTGCCAACAACTGGGACGAGAAGAACAGACTGTGACTGGGGGTCAGTCAAGAAGCCTTTGAGCCGCTGGGGCCTTGATGTTGGCCTTGGTCTCCTGCAGCCTGGAAACGTCACCAGGCCAATCCCACGAGCGCTCATTAAGCACCTACTGTGTGCTGGGCATGGGCTGGACACCAGGAATACAAGGCCAAGGTGAGACAGCCCCTCCCCCCAGGAGCTGACCTGGCCATTTGGCCGCACTGTCTCCCAAATAACAGGAATTCGAATTTATAAGATACCCTCTTGATGATATTTCTCCTTCACCACTCCTTCACCACTCCTTCATTCCTTCTCGTGTTTTAAAAAATAAGATTGTAATGATGTCTCTTGGGTTTTTGTTATTGTCTAATGGTGTCCAACTCTTTGTGACCCCACAGCCCATACTGGCCATAGATGCTGGAGGGGTTTGCCATTTCCTGCCCCAGTGGATTAAGGCAAACAGAGGTCGGGGTCACACAGCTAGTAAGTGTTGAATTTGAACTCAGCTCTTCCTGACTCCAGGCCCAGTGCTCTAACCACTCTGCCACCTCTCTGCACCTTGGTTTTTCACATCACCATTCCCACCCCTCCTTCCCCCAACAGAAAGCTATCCCATAAAATAAATAGTAGCTTTTAAAGTCCCTGACTTGAAGAAGCTTACATTGTCCTGGGAGAACAGCGCATACACAGAGCAATAACTGGAAGATATACAAGCAGTGATTTTGAGGGAAGGCCTTGGTAACTAGGGGATATCCAAACAGGCCTTGGGAGGATGTGGCTTCTGAGAGGTTCTAAGAGGCAGGTGGGGGAGGGGGCATGTTCCAGGAACAAGCAGAGCATCTTCTGAGAGAGCAGCATTTGGCCAAATGACAGCACAAGACGGGGCATGTGGTCTGGGGAGGATGGACAGGGAGCGGGGACCAGCTTGTGCATGGCTTCTAAAGCAAGATGGAGAAGCTTCTCATTCATCCCAGAAGCAGTGAGACCTACTGGAGCTGACTGGCTAGTGGAGTCCTCGAGTCTGATCTTATTAAGGAAAGTTACTTTGGCACCTGTGTGTAGGATGGCCTGGGCTGGGGAGAGACTGGAGGCAAGGAGGCCCAGTGGGAGGCTGTTACTAGAGAGGAGTGAAGGGTCTCATGCCAGATGGGTCTTGAGGGAGAAATGTCGGGATGTGGCAGCTGGTTAGATAGGTAGGGTGAGGAGTTAGGAGTCATGGGAAAGGCCAGAGTCATGAGCCGGGAGCCTGGAAAGCTTATTGTGCCTCCAACCCAAGTAAGGAAGACTGGAAGAGGAGAAATAGCATTCTGGTTTGACATGCTGAGTGTGCACTATCTCCAGGATGCCTAAATTTGCAATGGTTTTGATGAGTGCTCGTGCTTGGACCCCAGCCCTGGGACCATATTTCTCCCTAGTCCAAAGACCCTATCTCTGGCAATAACTCACGAGTGGGCCCCAGCAGGGCAAACTATCTCTTCCTGGACCTCTGTAGAATTTCCCTTGTCATGTACTGACTCCCGCAGTTACCCAATACAATCCAGATCTTAAGCCATTGACCTCAACTCCCAAGGCTACCTTGGACCAACAGGATGGCCGTGCTAGCAGTGAATCACACCTGTGCCCAAGGCACAAAAACTGTGTGTTCCTTCCCACCCCCACCAACATCCAATCAGCATACTTGCCATGTAATGTGCTAACTTTTTCTACGTAAGCTTTGGCACCACTCCTGTTAGGTTACCAAGTTCCCTAAGGAGTTCTGCCCACCATATTAGCATTACAGTAAACTTTTTGCCACTTGACTGGAAGGCTGCTTCAGTTCATGAATTCTTTCCAGATGACTCTGCCCTGAACCCCGGTATTTTGGGGTTCCTGAACCCCTAAAACTGCATCAATTTCATTACTAGCCAGTTGCTAAGCCTCTAATTCACTGTTTCCCTTGCCCTGGGCCTCAAAGGTAACATGGCCCTTAGGATTTCTGCTTCTTTTTCAATGTGTGGCTTTGCTGTTACTCCCCTTTCTGCCAACTACATCCTGCACAGGGGGGCTGGCACTGCTCTGGCCTCGCTTCCTTTCTCTCTTTTCTCCCTTCACATCTAGCTTTGATCTCACAATTGTCCAATGTTTGGGGTCCTGTTCCTTTTTTTTGTTTGTTTTAGTTTTCAACATTCACTTTTATAAGATTTTGAGTTTTTAATTTTCTCCCCCTCCTTTCCTTCCCCCCTCCCCAAGATGGTGTGCAATCTGATATAGGCCATACATGTACAATCATGCTAAACATATTTCCACATTAGTCCTATTGTAAAGAAGAATTAGAACCAAATGGAAAAACCCCAAGGAAGGAAAAAGCAAACAACAAGAAAGGAAAAATAGGAAGCTTCGACCTGCATTTAGACTCCGTAGTTCTTTCTCTGGATGTGGATGGCATTTTCCATCATGAGTCTTTTGGAATTGTCTTAGATCCTTGCATTGCTGAGAAGAGCCAAGTCTATCAAAGTTGATCATTGCACAATGTGGCTGTTATCGTGTACAACGTTCTCCTGGTTCTGCTCACTTCACTCAGCATCAGTCCATACAAGTCTTTCCAGGTTTTTCTGAAGTCAGCCTCTCATCATTTCTCATAGCACAATAGTATTCCATTACATTCATATACCACAACTTCTTCAGCCATTTCCCTAATTGATGGGCATCCCCTCAATTTCCAATTCTTCGCCTCCACTAAAAGAGTTGCTGCAAATATTTGTGGGTCCTTTTCCCATTTTTATGATCTCTTCGGGATATAGACCTAGAAGTGGTGTTGCTGGATCAAAGGGTATACACAGTTTTATAGCCCTTTGAGCATAGTTCCAAATTACTCTCCAGAATGGTTGGATCAGTTCACAACTCCACCAACAATGCATTAGAGTTCCAATTTTTCCATATCTTCTCCAACATTTATCACTTTCCTGTTTTGTCATATTGGCCAATATAATAGGGTGAGGTGTTACCTCAGAGTTGTTTTGATTTGCATTTCTCTAATCAATAGTGATTTAGAGCATTTTTTCATGTGACTATAGACGGCTTTAATTTCTTCATCTGAGAACTGCCTGTTCATATTCTTTGCTGGGCCCTGTTCCTTGACCCAAGAGGCAGTCCTTGGCAATCCTCCATAGTCCTCCAGATGATTCCTCCACTTACAAATGATCAGTGACTCCACATTTTGAGCAATTTGGGCTTTAGGAAGATCACCTGGGGCTCTGTTGAGGGAGAGGGTGGAGGAGAGTGGGGACCAATGGGGAAGCTACAATTCAGGTGGGAGATGAGGGTGGAGGGGGAGGTGAGCAGAGCTGGATGGCAGGCTTTGGGAGTCATCAGATGTTCAGAGGTAAGAGTTGAATACTTGAGTGGGACAGGATGTAGGTGAAAGGTCATGGAGGCTGGAGTATATATAATCTACATATTCACAGATAGGTGTGAGGACTCGGTCAGCAAAGCTGCAGCTTAGCAGATAGAGAGGAGGGTGGATCCAGGAGTGTGCACCAACAGCCTGAGAGGCGGGTAAAGTTGGGTGAAGGGTGGGCAGAGATCCTGGATTGTCTGAAGGCAGCCCATAAGGAAGGGGACATTTAAAGGGAAAAGGTGCTGGAGAGATGGATGCCAGGCCTGCAGAAGGAGAAGGAGAAGGGCTTCCTCTTCTGAGATGAGAGGATGGAGGCTGGGGCTGGTGAACTCAGATGGGGATCTGGGCAGGAGCCTGACGAACAAATGAGAGCAGCTTCTGTCACTGAAGTATGCATGGGGTAAGCTCTTCCACCCAGAGGGCAAGGCCGGGGGCGGTCCAGGTGGTTTGAGAAGTTGGTCAGTCTAAATCTGCCCATTCAGGGGTTCTGAACCTTGAGTCTGGGAACTTGGTTGGTTTTGCTTGTTTGTTTGGTTTTTAAAGCTATTTCAGGATAACCGGCTTTCTCTGTACTCCTGTATTTGGCAGGGGATGAGGGGGCACACTTAAGACCATGATTCTGAGCAGGGTCCCCTACGCTTCCCCTGCCCCCCCAAGGAGTCCCTGATCCACACAAGGTTAAAACCCCTGCTCTCAGAAGACAGGACTCCTGAGCTTCCCTCCCCAAACAGCATTGAATCATTCTGTGCTCTCAGGTCAGGAAGTGGCAGAGGAAATTCCACTGCTGCCTGGCCCATGTTCTCACCACGAAGCAAAGAAAGGAGCCAGAGGTGGGTTTTATTGTCTCTAACTGACCATTAGCTGCCCCCTGGTGGGGGCTCATCTGCCCAGCAGCTGGGCTAGACCTGGGGGGCGCCTTGGGTTGGGTAGTCTAACATCCCTTGTGTTACAGATGGGGAAACTGAGGCCCAGGGCGAGGGAAGGGCTTGCCAAGCGTCATGGAACAGGCAGGTGCAGAGAAGGTGATGCTCTGCCCACTTGACATCTGGAGCTCAAAGCCCAAATTGGGGGAGGGGGGAGAGGGGTTCTATTGCCAGAGAATCCCCAGCTTTCTAGTTAGTAGCACTCCGTCCCCTTGAAATTACTTGGAGTTGTTTTACGTGTATGGATGTTACGCTCCCTCCCAGTAAAATCTAAACTCATTAAGGGCAGGCGTGGGGTTTTTTTATTTTTCCATTTTCTTCTTTGTATCTGTAGTAGCCCATCTGGGTACCCCCAGCCTCATATCCGCAGGGTCAGGGCTCCTGAGCCAGCCCCCTCTTTACCATACTTCTAGGAGGCTTGAGAGCTTGCAAGCAACTTCTCGGCAGAGCTTCCTTGGGCCCCCATTCTAGGAGGCAGGGCCTTTTATTGTGCCCATTTTACAGATGAAGGGGGGCACGTGTATGTATGTGTGTGTGTATTGGGAGGGAGTGGTGATAAGAGCGTAAAATGAGGATCTGAGCCCTCAGAGATCTCGCAGACCCCTGTGGTTGGGGAGAGAGAAGAGCAGTGAGCTTAAGGACAGATACTTAGGGATGTCTTCACCCAAATAGCTGGCTAGCAAAGCCTGGCTTCTCCTGGAGTCCAGGGTCCAGGAAGGGATGGAGCAGGTTGGGTCTCCCTGTTCCCTAGGAGAACCTAGGGTTAGGAAGTTGCAGGGCAGGTCTGCATTCTGTCTCAGAATCTTCCCTGTGGAGGGCCAGTTGGGGCCTTCAAGGGCCCATCCTAACTGCCCTGGAGGCAGGGAGGTGGGAGCAGATCGTTTCAGCCTGGGGGGAAAAAAGAATCTGAGATCTGAAAGGAAGGCTGAAGGGGTGGTGCCTGGGAAATAGCTTGGCATGAGCTCCTGAGGCCCTCAAGCAGGAATTTGGAGAAGGGCCCAGCCTGGAGGGGGCCTTGGGAGCTGCGTGATTTATGGGGGAGGAAGAGGTATTGGGGGTTCTTGGTGAGAGAATCTGTTGCTGAGCCCAAGGAGCTGTCCCAGGGGCACCAGGTGCTGAAAGAGAGGACCCGGTGCTGTCCCATGAGGCTGAGCACAGTGGGGCTCCCTCTGTCCTCCATGCCTGGCCTTCTTTCCTCATGGGGGCCAGCATACCAGCCCAAGGAAAGCATGACGTGGGTCTTTAGGACTCTGTGTCTAAGTTCCCCCATGCCCACAAATGACATCAAGACCCCCCCCCCCAAAAAAAAGACCAGTCCAGTTTCAAGACATCCTAGAGAAGCGCACAGGATTTTGGAGTCGGGAGTCGGGACCCAGGTTCAAGTTCTGATGTGTCTGTTTCCTTGCCTGAAAAATGAGGCCTTTTGAGGGAGCTGATTTCTCAAGTGTGACTAAGTAGACCATTCTTTTGGGGAGTAACTCGGGAAAATGCTTTGTTTGGCATGCACTCGGCGTAATGGACTTTGGTGTGGACGCCACTCAGGCATTGGATCTGGGCCAGCTTTGACTCAGACGCTCTCCATTTAAATGCATTTTGTTCCCCTCACCAAATACGGCAAAGGGCTAACGGCCCACCCTCTCACCTCTGGGCTTCTCCCTCGCTGAAACATTTCTTTCTGGCTGTAGCGTGTGGTGGCGACAGTGTTGCTGATGAGTCATTTTTCATGTCCGACTCTTGGTGACCCCTTTGGGGTTTTCTTGGCAAAGATATTGGAGTAGTTTGCCATTTCCTTCTCTAGCTCATTTTACAGATGAGGAAACTGAGGCAAAAAGGGTGAAATGATTGCCTGGGGTCACACAGTTGGTCTGTGTCTGAGTCCAGATTTGAATTCATACAAATGATTCTTCCTGACTCCAGACCCAGCACTTTATCCACTGCACTCTTCTTAAACATACACATTGTCTTTAAGAAAGACTAGGTGTTCCTTCTGGGCTTCCCCTCCTGCCTATGCTCCTAAGCTGCCACTGGTATTCACTTCTATTTTAATCTGCCAACCTTTAAAAAAAAAAAGGTAATTTACAATTAGCTCAAGGTAAAAACATTCATTAAAATAACATAGTAAAAACAGTAGCAATGCTATAGCTCCCCCATAAACTTGGGGCACATTCTTCCTCAAATACACATCAAATCAGTGAGAAAACCCGGGATTTTTCCTTTCCAAAAATGCAATTTACTAGGAATCTTGTGGCATTTACATAGAAAAGCATAAAACAGGAAAAGCTGGCCAGAGGAAAGGAGAGATATAGAAAACAGTGCCTGGCATACAGTAGGCACTTAATAGATGCTTATTGATTGATTCATTATTGAAAAAATGAGGTGAGGAAATATGAAGAGGAAGGGGATAATTTCAGTTGGGGTAATTGGGAGAGATCTCCCAGGGATGGTGGTACCTACCTGGGTTGGAATTTGAAAGATGGTCAATCAATCGGTCAACAAACACTTTAAAAAATTCTTTTTTAATTAACCAAAGTCTATTTTCTTTCCCTTACACCTTCCCCACCTCCCAGACTGGAAAAAAGAAAATTAAAACCCTTGTAACAAGTATTCAGTGTCTAGGAAAACAAATATCTGCTTTGGCCCCACCCAAGCACAATCTTCCTCCATCTGGCCCCCTGAGTTTATCACCTCTGAGGAGCTGAGGAGGGAGTTTTATCATGGGCTCCTCATAAGACAGCTGGTAGCATAATGGATAGAACTCTGGCCTTGGAGTCAGGCAGACCTGAATTCAAATTCAGTCTCAGGCAACTAGTAGCAATATGACCCTAGGCAAGTCATTTAACCTCTGTTTGCCCCAGTTTCCTCAACGGTAACATGGGGATAATAATAGCACCGCTCCCAGGGTTGTGAGGATCAAATTCGATCATATTTGTAAAGCACTTAGCCCAATACCTGGCACATAATAGATGCTTTATCACTGCTAATTCTCTTCTCCCCTATTGCCTCAGATTACTTTACATGCATTTTCTTACACTTGAGCCTCAGGACAACCTCATGAAGGAGGGAGTACAAGTATAATGATTTCCATTCTACAGTTAGTGACTTGCTCAGGGTCTCTTGGCCAGCAAGTGTCAGAGGCCAGATTTGAACCCAGGATCCTCCTGATTCTAGGTCTGGCCCCTTTTCCACAGCCCTCTCTGACAGTTGGGGCTGGAGCAGGTAAGAATGGGGGAAGGGTGTGGCATGCATTTCCTGAGATCCTCGCCTTTGATGGGGTGTCTGGCTCCCTTCAAAGCTCAGCGACTTGAGGGTCAGCAATGGGTTTGGGTTTGAGGTGGTTGTCAATACATTTTACCATCATGGCCCCGCCAGCAATATTACAACAATGCTCCCTCCCCCTACACGTGTAAATTGTGAAAGCCTTAGCTACTCTGATCACGGCAGTGATCCAAGATGGTTCCAAAGGACCCATGGTGAAAAAACTTCTCTGTCTCCAGAGAGCTCTGACAGACTCTGAGTGCACATCAAAGCAGACTTTTTTCTCTTTTCTTTCTTTTCTTCCCCTGTCTCCCCTTCTCCCTTTCTCCCCCTCCTCTACCCCTCTCTCTCTTTCAATGTGGCCAATATGGAAATATTTTTTGCATGAGTGCCCATGTATCATCAACATCATTGCTTGCTTTCTCGATGGGTGGGGCAGGGGCCAGAGGGAGGGAGGGAGAGAATTTGAAACTCAGTTTAAAAAAAAATGAATGTTAAAAATAAATTAATTTAAAAAATTAAAATTCTTGTTGGATTGGCTTCATTTCAGGCCCCAGGTGTGGCCCAAGAATGGAGTGAGTTCCCTGTCACTGGTGTTCTTTCAGTTAAGGGCAGTCTGGATTGTTTGGGAGATTTCCTCCGTACTAATTGACTAGATGGCCCAAGCTCCTTCCAGCGCCCAGTGAAAGTTTGTCCGTCCTCCGAAGTCCAAGGAAGCCGCTATAAAGTACGCAGATTTCTGTTTTCCCCTCCCCATTTCTCATCCTAACCAAAATCAATCTTCCGTCTATTTACTGGAAGGCTCTTGTTTTCAAAGCCAGATGGAAGATGAGAAAATGGCTTTTCTTTCCCCCCCACCCCCCTCCCTTCAAGATTTCAGACATCGAACATCACATCTCTGGTCACATGCGGGGGAGATGTTGCCAAGAGGACGTCTTCAGGGCTATATTAAAATTCAGAACTTGGCCAGCCCTTCACCCAACAGAGGAGGAAACTGAGGCCCAGCATGGGGTTTATGCTGTGGTTTTCCTTTCTATCATCCTGAGAATTGTTTCTGTTCTTTCTACCACTTTCCTGGAGGGTAACAATGGTGACAGAATGGAAAGGATATTGGGCTTGGATTCATGAGAGATCCTTTACTAGATGTGTGACCTTGGGCAAGTCATTTGACTTACCTCCTTTTCCTCAGGTGTAAAACGAGGAGTTTGGACCAAAATGTCCTCTAAGGTCTCTTCCAGCTATCGATCTATAGACCTATAAACCTGGGTGACCTTGAGCAGTTTCCTTCTAGGGATGACCCTAGGTCTCAGTTTCCTGATGTATCAAATGAGGGGAGCTGAATTTGATGTCCTCTGAGGCTCTTTCTGGCTCCATCATTGACCCTCTGATCCTAAGTGAGACGATAAAAGCAAGATAAAGGCGATGAGGGGATCTACCCCACTGAGCTCCCTGGGGGACTAGGGATGGAATTACATAGGCCCTAGGACCTATTCATATGATCCCCTAGAAATTTAGAGGGAGACCAGCAAACTTGATAGCTTTCTTGGGAAATATGTCTTGCCCCTGTCAAATAGTGGGAGCTGAACACTGATGAATGGGACCTGAAATGAACTTGGCCACTTACTAGTCAGGCAACTGTGGGCAAATCATTGCCCATCTCTGGGCCTTAGTTTTCTGATCAGTAGAATGAGGGGCTTGACCTCTCTGATCTCTAAGGGTCCTTCCATTTCTCAAGCCTTAGGACCTTGGAGAGATCTATAGGGGACGTTCAGGAGGGTAAGGGCTTCTCAGAGCTGCTCATCCCATCTACCTTTGGTGTCCACCTTCACCCAACTCTTACCTGGCTCCAAGAAGCTGTAGCATGCACAGCCGCCACACCCCAGGAAAACCATTTTGGCAGACAGGCTAAACCAGGCTGAGGGTAAGCGACAGGCTGCTGCTGGTGACTTAAAGGGATATCTGCCCCAAGCACGTGAAGACTTCCCCTGGTGGAAAGGCCGACGAGAACATTGGTTCCAACAGCCACAAAGGCAGCTGAAGGAGGCGCTGTGGAGCATTTAGAGCTTGGTCAGGCCTGGAAGAGAGAGCGAGGACAAAGACTTTGTGCAGCTATGCATTACTTAAATCCAATGTGAGCTCAAGTCAAGCCAGCAACCTCGTCCCCCTGGACTCTTCTCTTCCTCAGTCCCTTCAGCAGGTCTTCAAATGGCATCTCCTAGAGGAAGCAATGACTACAGTTAAAGGCTCATTAAGCTCTTAAGCCAGGAGCTCAGGGTCCACAGGACACAGCATCCCAAGAGCTAGAAGGGCATCCAGGCATGAGCCACATCTGGGCAGGAATCCCCTCTTCATTTTCCGCACACTGACCATCCACTTTTTTTTTATAAATTTATTTTTAGTTTTCAACATTCACTTCCACAAGATTTTGAGTTCTAGATTTTCTCCCTATCTTGTCCCTCTCCCCACCCCAAGATGGCATGCATTCTGAATACCCCTTCTCCTAATCTCCCCTCCCTTCTATCTCTCCCCACCTTCTCTTATCCCCTTCCCCTTCAATTTTCCTGTAGGGCAGGATAGATTTCTATACCCCATGGACTATATACTTAGTTCCCAGTTGCATGTGAAAACAATTTTTTTGAACTTTTGTTTTAAAACTTTGGGTTCCAAATTTTCTCCCTTCCTCCCACCCCACCCACCCTCATTGAGAAGGCAAGCAACTTGATACAGGTTATACATGTGTAGTTACACAAAACACTTCCATAGTAGTCATGTTGTGAAAAACTAAGTATATTTCCCTTAATCCTGTCCCACCCCACATTTATTCTATTCTCTCTTTTGACCCTGTCCCTCTTTAGAAGTGTTTGCTTCTGATTACCCCCTCCCCCAATCTGCCCTCCCCTCTATCATCTTCCTGCTCTCTTGTCCCCTTCCCCTGCTATTTTCCTGTAGGGTAAGATAAATTTCCATACCCAATTGAGTGTGTATGTTATTCCCTCCTTAAGCCAAATCCTATGAGAACAAGATTCACTCATTACCTCTCACCTTCCCCTGTTTCCTCTCCACTGTAAAAGCCTTTTCTTATCTGTTTTATGTGAGATAATTTGCCCCATTCTACTTCTCCCTTTCTCCTTCTCTCTGTATAATCCTCTCTCACCCCTTAATTTTATTCTCCTGATATCACCCCTTCATCTTCAACTCACCCTGTGCCATCTGTCTATCTGTCTATCTATGCCTACGTATAATTTTTTCCCTCCAACTACTCTAATACTGACAAAGGACTCATGAGTTACAAATATCATCTTTCCATGCAGAATGTAAACAGTTCAACTTTAATAAGTTTCTTATGATTTCTCTTTCCTTTTTACCTCTTCATGTTTCTCTTGAGTCTTGTATCTGAAAGTCAAATTTTTTTATTTAGCTCTGGTCTTTTCATCAAGAATGCTTGAAAGTCTTCTATTTCACTGAATGTCCATTTTTTTCCCCCTGAAGGATTATGTCAGTTTTGCTGGGTAGGGGATTCTTGGCTGTAATCCTATCTCCTTTGCCCTCTGGAATATTATATTCCAAGCCCTGTGGTCCCTTGATGTAGAAGCTGCTAAATCTTGTGTTACCCTAATTGTGTTTCCACAATACTTGAATTGTTTCTTTCTGGCTGCTTGCAATATTTTCTCCTTGACCTGGGAACTCTGGAATTTGGCTACAATATTCCTAGGAGTTTTCCTTTGGGGATCTCTTTCAGGAGGTGATGGGTGGATTCTTTTAATTTCCATTTGGTCCTCTGGTTCTAAAATATCAGGGCAGTTTTCCTTGATAATTTCTTGAAAGATGATGTCTAGGTCCTTTTTTTTTCATCATGGCTTTTAGATAGCCCAAAAGTTTTTAAATTCTCTCTCCTAGATCTATTTTCCAGGTCAGTTGTTTTTCCAATGAGATATTTCACATTGTTTTCTGTTTTTGCATTCTTTTGAATTTGTTTTACAATGTCTTGATTTTTCATAAAATCACTAGCTTCCAATTGCTTCATTCTAATTTTTAAGGAAGTATTTTCTTCAGTAAGCTTTTGGACTTCTTTTTCCGCTTTGGCCATCCATTCTTCAGCACTGGCAGACCCTGAGTGCTGGGGAGCTCACTCCCTCCCAGGGCAGCCCATCCCACTTTCTTCCTGATTGGGAGGCACTTTTCCCTTCTGTTGAGTGGACATTGGGTTCTCTCTCTGGGCCATTTCTCCCTGCTCTTTCTGGTTTTGCCTTTTGAGGCCAAGAGGAACAACCCTAATCCCTCTTTCATATAACCATTCAGATACTGGAAGGTGGTGACCATACCACATCCACCCTTCCCATCCAGCTTCTATTCTCTAAGCTGCACATTCCCAGTTCTGCTTCCTTGTCTTCTCATGTCACAGTCTCCAACTTTCTCCCCACCTTCATCACCCTCCCCACTGGAGCCTTGCCAAAATATGGTGCCCATAGAACCAGACCCTCATCTGGTTGTTAAGCACTTTTTACACCTTCCTCAATGGGGGCTTATAAAGAATATCTTTTGTGAATAATAAAAAACTGACGTTATGACCTACAGACATTTTACCATTAATTTGATCTTGCATCTCTATAGGTGCAACTCACTTCTCAGAAGTGCCTCTTATCTCACTCCCTAGAGTATGCCTTGATTTTTAAAGGGCTGCCAGGGGTGTGGTCAGTGCTTCAAGCAGCCAATGGCTAGCTGCACTCTAATTCAGTCAAGCTTAACTACACAGATAGGAGAGGGAAGGAGTTTCTCATTGTCTGTAACCTTCCTCTGAAGACTTGAAATTCTATCTGCTGGGGTGGGGGGAGGGGAGAAGCAGTTGGTCTAGGCCATCCTGATCTTGTCCCTTCCCCACTGTAAAACACATTGAAACCCTTAAAATGTCATTAGTTGTTGCAGGTGGTGTGGTAAATAACAGAATCCCAGCTATAATTTTATGTCGTGAAAAATGTCTCTTGCCTTAGCCTCTCTGGCAGTCTTTCTTCACCATGTGAATTCTTTTACAGATCCCCCGTTCTTCTCCAAAGCCTTTCTCTATGGGTGGAGATCATGTCCAATCAGCTCATGTGCATGCTGAAGTTTCTCCGAGGATCTACCAACCAGAGGATGTGCGCTCTGTTCGCTGTTACTTTCAAGCTCATGTTCCTCGTCTCCATCATGGTCTACTGGATGGCAGAATCCAAATACAAGGACCAGCTACACAGCTTGCCTCTAGAGGTTAAGTGCCCCCTTGTCCTTTCTTCACCTCCTCCTCTCATCCTGGGTGAGCCCCCTACCCCTCCAGGGGACATCTTCTTTGTGGAAACCTCTGATCGGACCAATCCAAGCTTCCTCTTCATGTGCTCGGTGGAGTCAGCCTCCAGGACTCACCCTGGTACCAGGATTATTGTCCTTATGAAGGGACTGGTTGGTAGGAACTCCACCCTACCCAAGCACCTGGGCATCTCTCTGCTGAGCTGTTTCTCCAATGTGGAATTCCAGCCACTGGACCTGATTGAACTTTTTGAGGGCACCCCTTTAGCCAGCTGGTACAGCTCCCTTCACCAAAGATGGCAGCCATACCTTCTCCCCATCCTTTCAGATGCTGCTAGAATAGCCATCATGTGGAAGTTTGGGGGGATTTATTTGGACACAGACTTCATTGTCCTTAAAAATTTGAAGAACTTCACCAATGTCCTGGGCACTCAGTCCAAGTATGTGCTGAATGGGGCCTTCCTCGCCTTTGAGCCCAGGCACAAGTTCATCCAGCTCTGCATGCAGGACTTTGTGGATCATTATAATGGCTGGATCTGGGGCCACCAAGGCCCCCAGCTCTTGACCCGCGTCTTCAAAGAGTGGTGTGGGAGTAGGAGCCTCCAGGATCGCCAAAGCTGCAAAGGGGTCCAGGCCCTGCCCCGAGAAGCCTTCTACCCTATCACATGGCAGAACTGGAAGAAGTACTTTGAAGCCATCAACTTACAGGAATACGAGACACTGCTGAGTAAGACCTATGCGGTCCACATATGGAATACAAAGAGCCAGAGCGTCAGCTTTGAGGTCACTTCCGAGGTGCTGCTAGCAAGGCTGTATTCCCAACACTGCCCTATGACATCAGAGGTCATGAAAATGTATCTCTGAAGAGCTGAGGTGGACTCCAGACTCCCTGCCCTCTCAAAAAAGCATTGGCTCGACACTATCCACCATCTTTACAAAAAAGGAGCACCTGGGATGGAAGGCCCATTCTGGCTAAAGAACCTGTGATCTTCTGTGGGTAGAGAGTTCTGACTGGGCTGAAGGCGGGAAGTGTCGGACGGTCCTCCCAGAGTGTCTGCTCTACATGTTCTGAGGTGGTAGCCATCCACCAGTTAGGACTGTGGGCATCCAAAAGAACAGAATGGGGGGGAAAGGCCATCAGCCTCGAGGCAAGGGAGGTGTTTGTCACCAGAGACCAGAGAATGGATGCTGGGATGGAGACTTCAGGGCAAATGAGGCAGAAAGTACCCAAAGCAGGAAGACGTTTTTGATAAGACAAGAGGGAGAAAAGGTTGTTCATGAAGTCCAGGAGGCCCAAAGTTTCTGGGTGGGGGGGAGTTCTTTCCACTCCCCCAGGTCTCTCTCAATATTGAGATGAACGTGACTTCTTCAGCTCTTTGAAGACTGGAAGCAGGAGCTCATATGTTGGGGGCTTGAGCTTTGGAGAACCTCAGGGGGAAAAGCTCTCTGTCTTCTCCCCTATCCTCCTCCCACCCCACTTTGTCCCTTTCAGGAATGGACCTGAATCAACCATCATGGGGTCAGCCACTGACTTGGGGGGGTGTCTTGAGAAAGGCATTGAGAGGAGACTGAGAAAACCCCTAAAATATTCCCTCTCTCTGTTCCCCCTCCCCACATATCAGGTAAGACCAGGAGGGGAAATATAATAATACCAACACATCTTTTGACATGGTTCCAAATTGTGTTATGTCCATGATCTCATTAGAGCCTCCAGATCAGTCAGGGAGGCCAGTGCTTTATTAGCCTGATTTCACATGGAAGGAAAGCAGGGTTGGAGGGTTATGTGTCACTTGTCTGGGGTCATAGAACTAATAAGTGCCTGAGGCAGAATTTGAACCCAGGTCTTCCTTCCTCCAAGTCCAGTGCTCTTTCTGCTAGAGAGACACTACAGACGTTAGCCTCCTGGTAGGGGTGTTGTTACAGGATGCTGGCACCCTTCTTGCTAGGAGGCTCCCTAAGCTTGGTAGATGTTTCCCCCCAACTTCACTCTCAGATCTTCCCGGAAGCTCACTGAGTAAAACCAGCCTCGTGTCCCCCAGGGGCCCACTCACTCTGCTAGATTCAAAGAAAAGGCTGGATCAAACCCAGGGCATCCTGAGAAGTCTCCACCTCAGCAGATTGTCTGAGCAGACAAAGGTTGGTCGGCTAGAAGGAAGTGCCATTCCCCTGGATCTTGCTGGGAACAGTGACTTTTGGAAACATTTCCTTATTTGGCATTCTCAGTCCGGAAGTGGCTCTCTAATAGTCAAGCACTCATGTAAGTGTCCTTGAATGCCTGGATGAGAGGCTGGGGTGCAGCCATTGTGCCTACCTGGCTGGTCTCTAAGCTTGCAGTGGGAATGAGGCCAGCAAAGCCCCCTAGCCTCCTGAACCATCTGCCCATGGTCTTCACCAGGGGCTTCTCAAGAAGATTTCTCCATGCTGTCCCTGAGTCTCCTTTCTAACTTCCTGTTTTAAAATTTTATTTCTATTTACATTTTAATAGATGCCTTTTGCTTTTTAATGATAGGCAAATAGGAGGGAGACAGATTGCTGATCTGGGGACTAGGAACTATCCCCTCTCTTATGCTGGCTGTGTGACCCTGGGCAAGTCATTTTAATTAACCCCTCAGTGCCTGTATCCTACCCCAAACTCTGTAAGTGGCAGAGGGTCACTGTGCATTGCCTTGTCCAGGACTTCCTATGCCAAGGAATTCATGCATCTGGCCCCTATCATCCATCCTGGGTTCTGCATTCTTCATTGGCTGTTTTTCCCAATCTTTCCCTCTTTTCCTTTCTCCTTTCCCTCTCCCAGAAAGCCACCCCTTATAACCAGGAATGAAAAAGAAAGAAGAAAAAACTACTAGTAAAACAAAACCAGCACACACCAATCAGGTCTGATTTTTCTATTTCCTCCTGATCTACACCGAGGGTCTCCTGTGCCCTGCAGCACCCACCCTGTGAGAAGCTAAGGATGCCCTGCTGTGACCTTGCCTGCCCTCTAGCTTCCAGGGGTCTCTCCTGAGGGGTGACTGTCAGGTTCTTTGGGGGCTGAGCTTGGCCTTTCCTGTCCCAATTCCCAATTCTGAATGTCCCAGCTGTGTTAGTGTGTTAGAGAGAGAGAGAGAGAGAGAGAGAGAGAGAGAAAAAAAACATCCCAAAGCTTAGGAAAACCAACTCTTGTTAACTACTGGAAAGAATTAAGGTCTGCCTTCAGAAGAAGAGAAGTCAACCCAGTTGAATGAGTCTCTCCAGGCTGCCCAGAAAGAGAGCCAAATGGCCAGGACCCTGATTTGGGGGAACATGGAGCTATGGGTAATAAGTAACCCTGTCCATCTTGTAATCTGTCCCTCTTGACTACACAGTCTGCTCCCCCACGAAGCTGAACCAGGAAAGACGATATCTAACAACCTTTGTTATTGTAGGGAGGTAGTGGGCTCTTTTTCCCCTCCTGCCCCTCTTCCAAATATAGCACATGGCTGGGGGCTGATGATCTCTGATTTGAAGTGGATGAGGACCTGCAGAATAGCTTGAACTTGGTTGCTTTTCTATGGAGAGTGTCTCAGGCATCTGTGTGATATACTTCACTTTCTACTGCTAGGTTTTTGGGGGACAGGAGGACAGATGTGGGGTGGAATCAAGAATATGACTTCCCTACCCACTGTCGAATGGGAAGGAAGCACATGGAAACTTCATCATTGTTAGGAAGTTTATCAAGTTGCACACCTGTCCCTTGCCCTCTTCACAGATTACCTGGTGGAGGAGGATGGAGAAGGATTAAAGGGAGTGAAGGAGCCGGCTAGAAGAGAAGGGATCCAGATGAGAGCTTTCCTCACTAGATCCGTGTGAGTTCCCTGCTGCCATGTTTCATCCCCTGCCTCTAGGACTTTGCCCTGTCTTCATTCCTGTTCATCCAATATCAGACAGCTTCCCCTTTCTCTTCTCCCTCAAAATGGAGGCTAAACCCAGCAGTTTATTTCCCGTTCTTGATTATAGCTAAGCAGCTTTGGTTGGTTTACAGGACAGGAGGAACCTGGAATCTTCCAGATTCTTTCTTTCTTTCTTTCTTTCTTTCTTTAAATTTTTCTTTTTAAAATTTTTTTTTTCCATGTGCTTTTGAGTTGAAAATTTTTCTCCCTTTTTCTCCCCCCCACCCTCCCCAAGACAGCGCACAATCTGACATAGGCTTTACATTTACATACCCATTAAACATATTTTCACTTTAGTGAAGTTGTAAGTAAAAACTAAAACCAATAGGAGGAACCATGAGAAAGATGAAACAAAACTCAACAGAAGGTTAAAAATAAGTGATAGCAATTCGACTTCCATAGTTCTTTCTTTGGATGTGGACAGCATTTTCCATCCCGAGGCCTCTGGAGATGTCTTAGATCCTCATAATGCTGAGAAGGGTTCAGTTTAACATTCTTAGTCATTGCATAACGTGGCTGCTATTGTGTACGAAGTCCTCTTGGTTCTGCTCACTTCACTCAGCATCAGACTATATAAGTCTTTCCAGGTTTTTCTGAAGTCAGCCTGTTCATCATTTCTTATAGCACAATAGTATTCCATTACATTCATATACCACAACTTGCTCAGCCATTCCCCAATTGATGGGCATCCTCTCAATTTCCAATTCTTGGCCACCACAAAAAGAGCTGCTATGAATATTTTTGTACATGTGGGTCCTTTTCCCATTTGTTTGATCTCTTTGGGATATAGCCCTAGAAGTGCTATTGCTGGATCAAAGGGTATGCACATTTTTGTAGCCCTTTGGGCATAGTTCCAAATTGTTCTCCAAAATGGTTGGATCATTTCACAACTCCACCAACAATGTATTAGCGTTCCAATTTTCCCACATCCTCTCCCACATTTATCATTTTCCTGTTTTGTCATGTTGGCCAATCTGATAGGTGTGATGTGGTACCTCAGAGTTGTTTTGATTTGCATGTTTCTAATCAATAACGATTTAGAGCATTTTTTCATATGACTATAGATGGCTTTCATTTCTTCATCTGAGAAATCTCTGTTCATATCCTTTGACTATTTATCAATTGGGGAATGGCTTGTGTTCTTATAAATTTGTCTTAATTCTCTATATATTTTAGAAATGAGGGCTTTATCAGAGAGACTGGTTATAAAAATTCTTTCCCAATTTTCTACCTTCCTTCTAATCTTAGTTGCATTGGCTTTGTTTGTGCAAAAACTTTTCAATTTAATGTAATCAAAATTATCCATTTTGCTTTTCGTAATGTTCTCTATCTCCTGTTTGGTCATGAATTCTTCTGTTCTCCATAGATCTGTTAGGTAAACTATTCCTTGTTCTCCCAGTTTGCTTATGGTATCAGCCTTTATACCAGATTCTTTCTGAGAGTAAGCCAGCCCAGCTCTAACTAGCCCTTCATGGCTGCACAGTGCTCACTGGTGCAGGAGGGTGCTTGGGATTGTTTTGGAAGGTATCACACACATCCACTTTTCTAGTTGCTAGACTCTGGATCCTGACTGAGGTTGGCTCCAAGATAGCAGTCAAAGAAAAGCATGGAAGGTGGTCCTTTGTTGCCTGGGGAGCCATGGTGCATGGTGGGAGGCAGCTTAGCTCTGGGCTCCAACACCTGGAAAGCCTCTGGTTGAGAGGTGAGAGGAAGGGTAATACAAGGAGAAGAAGCCTGGATCTGAAGCCAATCCTGGCACTGCCACTCAATCCCTTTGTGACCTCTGGCAGGTCACTTCACCCTCTGTGTCTCAGTTTCCTCACCTGTAAAATGATGGGGCTGAACTGGATGGCCTCGAAGGTGCTTTTGGCTTCCAGTCTTCAAAGCCTTGCTTTTCTTTGGAGCTTGGAGAATCTTGGGTTGCACATCACCTGGAGGGAAGCTAAGGAGACAGTCTCTGCCCCCACTCTCGGGCTGTTATTTTAGCTCTAACCAAATGCTATTGTCTTCTGGACCTTTCTCATGATCAGATGTTGTCATTTACAGAATGAATTGGGTCACTCATTTTTCCTTCTCTTTTTAAATATTTATTTGGGGTTTCAGGGTAAAAGGGGGGGGTAATTGCTGAGTTTATTTTTTTCTCTTCTGCTTCCATGAAAACATTCCATTCTGTGACATCTTGTTCTGGCACATGATGGGTTTTTGCCTCTAAATGATAGGGCTGGGGCTGTAATCAGATTTAGCTGGATCAAAATAACATTAGACTGAGCATAATAAACAAATGGGAGCTGGCCAGGCATTCAGCAGGGATTCAGTGGTGGGCTCAGGACTGGTTTGTCTCAGCTGAGCCAGACCCCACAAAGCTGCCCTCAGCCCTGGTGGGAGTTGAGATGTCTTGATGCATCTATTACAGGCTGGAGCCCCCAATAATCTAAGATGGTTTGACCTCTCTCTTAAAGGGTTTAAGTATTTCCCAAATAGAGATTCACCTCTTTTTTTTTTTTGGCTCTCTGTGACTTCTCCTAGGATCAGGATGTGGCAGGATGCCTTTGCAAGTGAGTGGGAGAAAGTCACATCCCCTAGAATTATAGTTTCTGTGTTTGGAAACTAGAACCTCAGTTCTACCTCCCTTTACACAGGTGATAGGTATAAGATGGAAGAAGTTAGGAAGCTCAGAGACTAAAGCTAACAAGGCAGATGTCATTTGGGTCCAATCAAGCCATCTCATAAGAGCCAAAGCTTCCCCCTTCTTGCCCTCCTTTTACTTCTTTTACTTAGTAAATACTTAACCCTTTGAGAAAGAGGTCAAACCATCTTAGGGCACTGGGGGCTCCAGACAGTAATACATGCATCTAGATATCTCAATTCCCGCCCTCCTCTTGGGACCAGTGCACTGAAGAATAGTGAATGTATATCAAGGAGTGCTTTCTCAAGGGGTTTGCTAGTTGGTGTGATGTGCATACATGAGTCTTAGTTTGGAACCTTTGACGTGACCTGCAGCGTATGGACATGCCAATTGACTGGCACTTTGTTAATAAGGACAAAAGGCAATTCTTAAGTCTCCGCACCTGGGCTTCCACTCAAATGACTTGGCCAGGATCCTTGGGGGAAGATGCCATTCTTTGCTGGCCTATTAAGAGTGCCAGAAAGGATCCCTTCCCTGTTTAGAAGGCAGCAAGATCGCACGAGGATCTCAGCCAAGCTAAGATTAAGTTTTTTCTTCTTAACTTCACATCTGGGACTGAGATCACTGTCCTTTGCCCCAGACAACTACAGGATCTCAGAATTAGGTATTCCATCAGTCTTCTGTGGCTGGGTGTGCAAATGAATGAGAAAAAGTAGAAGGAACCAAGGTTATTACTTTCAACTTTTATTATGAAGATCTGCTGGCTGCAAATTCCACTAGCCATGGCATGAAGTTTTGTCCAGGGAATAACCTCGCCATCTCCACTGACATCTTCTTGACTTTGCCCCAAAGCCTTGGAACTCTTAGGTCCCTTTGTCTTGGCTTGGGTCAGCCTGAACTCACAGGTTTGAAGGGTGTGCTCTTGTCCCTGCTCTCTCCTCTTTTCTCCTCCCCAAGCCACAGAGATATCCTAGATCCTTCCTTCTGTCAACAATAAGTCAATGGATTGGGAGATCTCATCGATGGGTTATTCCCTCCCATGATGCTGATACAAATCCTTCTGCACTTTCTCATCCTGGCCAACATGCTGGAAGCTGCCCTGTCTCCCTACTGACCCATATCATCATGATTTGTCATGTGTGCCTCCTTTTCAGAGGTGTCCCTCCCACCGCTTGCAATAATGCTCATTTCCGTCTGATTTGGAGGTTTGACAAGCACTACCAGGCAAGCAGTTCCCAGGCTGTTGTGGCCATTTCCAGAGGAGGAAACTAGCAGCTGTGAGAATTTGGATGTTTGCCCAAGGTTACTCAGGCAGTGTCTGAGGCCAGGTTCAAACCAGGGTTTCAAGCGTGATATGTAGAAAGTGCTGGGCACCAAGAAGTGTGAAGACACAAAATGGCAGTCCCTGGCCTCGTCAAGTTAGCCCTTCCCCGAGTCCTCTCAGACTAACAGCTCTAGAGCTGGAAGGGACGTCAGAGGCCAGCTTGTCTACCCCCTCATTTAACAGATGGGGAAACTGAGGCTCAGGGAGCGAAATAATCTGCCCAAGATCACACGGGGAGTTAGTGGCAGAGCCACTGAATCCAAGTCT